AGAGAGAGAAAGAGAGAGAGAGAGAGAGAGAGGAGCTGTTAGGGGAAGGCAAAAGATGGCAGGAGCGAGGAAGGGAAGGGAGCTGAGGTAGGGAAAAGGATTTGAGCGTGACGGGGAGGCAGGTCTGACTCCCAGGTGGGCGTGGACAGGCACAGTAACTGTGCCGGGCAATTCAACGGTCACGGAAACCAGTGCTGTCCAGTGGCCTTGAGTGAGGTCCAGGAGTGACTGAATTTGATTAGAAAGGAGATGAAAAGAAAAATGGAGGCTAGCCAGAGAGTAGTGAAGGGGAAAGGGGAGAGAGAGAGAGTGGAAAGAAATGGGAGCGGGGAGAGAGATAGAGGGTGGAAGTGTACCTTAATGCTGAATCAGTGGTGTTCGCAGCAGCCAATAATGACAAGCAAGTCTGAAAGTTTTACATGCGAGGTCCCTTGAAGTAAGAGCCGGTTTTGGGACCATTTGATAGGTAAAAGTTTGGGGTGGAGAGCGAGTGAATGGAGGAGGCACTGAGGCACAGATAGAACTCTCAGCAGGATACAGCTTTATTTCGCACGGGACATGTTTCCCTCGGGGAAGGGAAAGATGTCAGCCCACGGGTTGTGAGCTGAGACTTATATATGGGGGCTTCAGGGTGCAGAAGTGGGGAGAAGTTTTGGGGAAAAGTCAAGCAGGGGGAAGCAGGAAAAGCAGGGCTTGTAAACCCGGCTCCATTCAGTCTGCCAGGCAGGATCTGGGTCTGGAAGTGTTTACTTTTTCCTCTTAAGATAAGGGAAAAGCTGCTGTGTTAAACAGCTTCTAAAATCTCTGGTTAACAGGTACAATCTGCTTGTCTTGTCTTTGGAGATCAGAGGAAAGGCAGGCTGCTTCTCAGCAGAGTTTGTTTCCCTTGACTTCAAAGGCCAAGGCGCTTATCAGCTCAGTTCCCTTTTTCAGGCTCCAAAAGTCCATAGGTCCCTGTTGGGGAGGGGAGAAGCTGCTGTTGTTTGGAACCCTAATACTCCCTCAGTAACAATTCTATTTTTCACTTTTTAGAGTTTGACAGAAGATAGTCAATATCCTGAAGGATTTGGGAAGTTTTCTCCAGTGCTATGGATACTCTCTTTTCATTGGCTGCTTCAAGCAAGGTTTCTGAAGATCTTGATTTATCATAATCAGAATACTCATTTTTCTTATTAGAAGTCAAGTTGAGGACACCACTATTTTCTAGTAGCCCTGAGATACTTAGTTAAGGAGCTTTTCTCTATATTTTTCATTATATACTTTTATTTTTCAGAAAGCCTGACTTTGATAAGAAAATAATATTTTTCAGTTACAAAGCTCTCTTGAATTCATAATAGCACTGGGATTTCAGAATTTGGGTAGTCTACCCCATAGAGATGAGACAACCAGCTAAGCATAAGGGAAAGGGAAGTAGAAAAGTGTGTGTGTGTGTGTGTTTGGATGGGGGTTTGGTGGTAGGGAAGAGATTTAAAAAAAAATCAAAATCTCAGTAACAGTTCTTTACAAGTTATGAAAATAAAGATGACAACAGGGTTATAAACCATGAGCACACTGCAATTTTTAATTTAAAAAGATCTATAGTAAAAGGAAAACCTGCCTTTTCTTGCAGAACTAGTTTATTATTTGAGCAATTGAAATGTTCCCTCCAGGAGACAGGAAATAAACAAAACATACACTGCCCAGGAAGGAAATGAAACAAGGCTCAGGAAGATTCTCAAGGCCCCTCCCCAGGGCTCTGTAGAGTAATAGTAGCTGGGGAGGGGTGGCTCTGACCAGCAGGGTGCGCCAGGGATGCAGCTTCCAAGAACTGCCACCTATGCTGGGCTTTTCCTTTGAGTCATCTGTGCTCCTGTAAAGAATAGCTCAACTACATTTCTGTAAGCAAAGCCAGTAAAATCACTAGTTCACTAAGCTGGACCTTGGTGGAATTGTTTCTTTGGTCTTACTGGCTCTCTATCTCCAGTGAATTAACATCTCCTCACGAAATGTCATAGAACAGTAAGATTACAGAAATATCAGAAATGAATTCATTTGACTGAAAGGATTCATAATACTAAAAGCTAGAGATTATCTTCAACAGTTATAATTCAGAATATAATTAATTATGTAAGACAAAAGGAGAACTTAACCCTAGTCTACTGCTTCACCCAATTTAAACTTAAAGCATAAACATTAGTAGCATAATATTTTGATGTAGCTACATGGAATGTTTAAAGAAAATATGGATTTTAATCCTTGTTTTTGCCCTGTCTCTGTCAGCAAATTTCAGCTGACACGTTTGTGGTTAGAACACCAACACAGGTCGCTAGAACTCCTGGCCTGTGTCCTGATGAAACATCCTCATTTGTTTTCTTTCTAAATTTATAATAATTTGCCTATTTGTGAGACTGTACTTAAGTTTCTGTGTCACTGTACTTACTACCTAAGGTATAAAGGATGAATGCTTTCCTCCTTTTGGGGTTTAGACTTTGAGACTTAAGTCCTCTGGCCCAAGTTGCAGCCTACACAAACCTGCTTCCTGTGTCTCCTGGTGTCCTCTTATCTGTCCCCCAACAATTCCACAGAAAGAAACTACCTTAAGGAAAAGTCAGCAACCCACAGTATGGGTTAGTATTCATAAAGTATAGTCACTATTGAGCCTAGACTGGAAGGGAATACTTATGTAGGACAATACATTCTGTCAAAAGGATACAGTTAAATTTCTGTATTTTTCTGAGTTCAGATGCAACAGACCTGTTCAAGATAAAAGTTGACATTTGAACACGAGCTCTTACCATGTTTAACAGAGACAGCAGGTGACTGGCCTGAAATAGGAGGCTGGCTACAGAAAACTCTAGCAGAACTCCTATGTGTGACTTCCACATTTCTTCCTAATAAGTTAGAATGATGAGCAGCAGCAGACAACTACAAATAATGCAACTTGACTCCCTCTGTGAAAACTAGTGAGGACATTAGTCTAAAGACAACTATTCCAGTTCAAAATTGAATCAATGGGCTAATAATGGTCATATAGAAAAAATACTGAAATACAATCTAGGTAGCTATCTACTGTGCAATTTCTTTTCTCTCCATAACTACTCTGACAGAAGACAAATAACAGCAGACATGTCTTGGGAAACAGAGCTACTCCTCAAGTCCTTTGTCCTGTCTCTGCTGTTCTCCATGACATCTGCCAATGGCTGTTATGCATTTTCATTTTTCAGTATGTCTCAAGTTATTCTCTTTCAGCATTCATGTAAACAAGCTGGCATTAAAAAAAAAATTATCTGATCAGTGGTGACTTGATCAGCTTCAGAAATGTACAAATGCTCCCTCTCTTCTCAACTGCTTTATGTTAGCTAAGCAAGCAATTTTTCTGCTCTAAAATAGATTGTAGCTGAAGGGAACATCTATTTTCATTTTATTTATTTATTTTTAATATTTATTTTTATTTCATGTGTATGAGTGTATTGCCTGCATGTATGTAAGTACGTACACCTGTGTTGTGCAATGACCACGGAGGTCAGAGAGTGGTGGATTCCCCTGGAACTGGAGTTATAGATGGTTGTTAGCCACCATGTGGGTGCTGGGGATCGAACCTGGGTCTCCTGCAAGAACAGCTACTGTTCTTAACCACTGACCCATCTCTCTAGCCCCCTCATTTGATTTATTCTAAGGAGTATTCACTTAAAGATAGAAATCACTCTCTTTCTCTACGCACACGCACACACACACACACACACACACACACACACACACAATTTTTTTGCCTAGTACATTATGCTAAGTCACCTTATAATTTACTCTGAAAAAGTTCATAAATCAGGCATGGGCTACAGCTCAGCCTAGTGTGTACCTGCCTAGTACACACGACACTGAGTGTAACGTAACAGGGTTAAAAATTGTTCATGGTATCCGTTTCCAATATACTTAGATTATACTCTGTGATATTAATCTTCCAAATGACCTTTCTTCCGTTATATTTCCATTTATGAACTTGTATTTTCATGAGCTACTTAAGATCCATCTTAATACATCAAAACTCACAATATATTCTAGCAGCAAGCACTTATTGCTGCAGAAAAAAAGTTTCCTCACGCCTAAGATCTTTTCTGTCATTTTGTGTGGATGTGCACGAATCAGAGGATAAATGTGTCTTTATGTGCGTTCTGATGATTGAACTCAGGTTGTCAGGGTTGGAGTGCCTTTACCTGTTGAGCCACCTTGTCAGTCCTCAGTACTAATTTTGAAATATTAATTGGCTGTTCTACACAGATTTAGGCTTAAAAGCAATATACATACCAATTTTCTTTGAGAACAGGTGACAGATGTGTGGGCGTCTGTCTTGGACTAGTCTGGGTCAGTCTTCTGCACCATGATGTTACTGCTGTCACATATCTGGAATGAACACATTAAAGAAATATTTGGTAGTAAAATCCATTAAATTGTATAATTAATATGCATCAATATTTAAAAAAAAGAATCAAAGTAAAAGAAATACTTGAAAATGAACTTGTATACTTTCTATGCCTATTTCTTTGGACACGGGGACCCTAAGCTGGCCTCAATTTCATTATGTAGAGATGTAGGTAAGAATGATCTTGAACTTCTGACCCTCCTGGGGCTACCTCGAAGTGCTGGAACTTAAATTTTTAAATTTTTTTGCTTTTATTTTTATTTTATGCGTAGGAGTATATTGCCTGTATGTGTGTAAGTGCACGTGTGTTGGGCAATGCCTCTGGAGGTCAGAAGAGGGCGTCACATCCCCTAGAACTGGAGTTGCAGATGGTTATTAGCTGCCATGTGGGTGCTGGGAATCCAAACAGGTCCTCTGCAAGAGCAGCCCTGGTCCTGACAGCTAAGCCATCTCTCTAGTCCACTGCTTTTATTTTTTGCTCAGATAGCCAAAGCAAACCTGAGCACTAAGAGCAATGCCAGGGGTATTACTATACCAGGCTTTAAGCTGTATTACAGAGCTGTAGTCATAAAAACAACATGGTACTGGCACAAAAATAGACCCATAGATCAATGGAACAAAACTGAAGACTCAAATAAGAGTAAATACAATTTCAGCCACCTGATATTTGACAAAGAGGCCAAGAATATTCAATGGAGGAAAGACAGCATGTTCAGCAAATGGTGCTGGCAAAAACTCTCACTGAGTTCTATCTCTGATCCCATCTTATTGTAATAGATGATGAAGCATAGATTTAATCTGGATCAAAGACCTCATTGTAAAGCCTGAAACTCTGAAACTGTGAGAAGAAAAATTGGGGAAAAACCTACAAGATATGGGTGTAGGAAAGGATTTTCTAAACCGGACATCAATTGCTCAGGAAACAAGGGCAAGAATTAACAAATGGGACCTCATTAAACTAAAAAGCTTCTGTACATCAAAGGAGGCAACGAGGGAAGCAAACAGAAAACCCACGGAATGGGAGAAAATCTTCACCAGCGACACATCCAATAGAGGTTTAATATCCAGAATATATAACAAACTCAAAAAACAGAGCATCAAGACAAGAAGCAACCCAACTGAAAAGTGGGCTAAGGAACTGAACAGAGTGTTCTCAAAAGAAGAAGTAAAGATGGCTATGAAGCATCTTAAAAGATGTTCAACATCACTAATAATTAGGGAAATGAAAATTAAAACCACTTTAAGATTTCATCTTACCCCAGTCAGACTGGGGTGAGGGTATGGGGAAAGGGGAACATTCATCAACTGCTGGTGGGGCTGCAAACTGGTTCAACCCCTATGGAAAGCAGTGTGGAGAACTCTTAAAAAACTACAAATGAACCTACCATTTGACCCAGTTATACCACTCCTTGGCATATACCCAAAGAACTCATCCTATTACAGAGACACTTGTACATCTATGTTTGTTAATGCTCTTTTCACAATAGCTAAGAGATGGAAGTAACCTTAGTGTCCCTTGATTAACAAGTAGATAATGAAAATGTGGTTCATCTTTATGATGGGGTTTTACTAAGCAGTAAAGAAAGATGAAATCATGAAATGTGCAGGTAAATGGATGGAACTAGAAACTGTTATTCTAAGTGAAGTAACACAGACTCAGAAAAAAAATCGACATGTGTTCTCCCTCATATGTGGATCCTAGAACCAAACCCTGATAAGTGAGTATGTATCCAGACATAACTATAGGAACCAGGATAACAGAAAGGAAACAGGGAGGTAAAGGAAAAGAAAGAACCTGAAAGAGAAGAACAGTAGGAAACAGGCCTTAATAAGGGAGATATGGATAAAAATTGGGTTAGTTTAAGGGAGGGGAGAGGGAGGGAAGGGTATACAAGGAACCTAGGGGATAAAGTGAAAAAAGGAGCTCAAGAGAGGTAGGACTGTAGGAGAAAGGTCGAGAAGGATCTTTGACTTATCTTCATATAGGTGGAACTGGTAAAAAGAAAGGAGCCAGGGGCTCCTCCCAAGCCCATGTGACCCCAGAGGAATAGATCCTCAAACGACTTTAAGAGTAAAAATAAGTTGGTTTATCTGGGCCAACTGTATGGCCTTAAACACCCAAAAGGAAAGTATAACCAAAGATTAAAGAGGCCAAGATAATTTTTTAAGAGTCCATATACATAGCTAAAGGCTACATAACAAGCAACAACGCCAGATAGGAGATGCCTTCTTTTGAGTTGTTGGCCAGGGTAGTCAAAGGGACTCCCAGATAGTAACCCAGCATAGAACTTGGAAAATGAACAGCAGACCCCAATCTTACCCAAAAGAATATTGACAACTGATGACCGCTAGATGAGGAACCTCTGACCCTCCTAAAACAAAGACCTCTAGGTAGACTGACTAGATTCACCAGAAGGGCAAGTAGTGGGGAATGGCTGGGGGTGCCGACAACACAGCAGACAGTAGCAGGGATATCAGAGTATAAGGGCTCTAGTGGGAGGAGGGAGGCTATGGGAGGGTGCATCTGGGAAGTGGGTGTGTAGTTGAATAAGATGGTTTGGGATGTACTGTGTGATATACACACATACACACACACACACACACACAAATCAACAAATTTTTAAAAAATGTATTATATTTGAGGTGG